TAGTGTGTGTGTGTGTGTGTGTGTGTGTTTGTGTTTCACTCACAGCGTCCGTTGAGGTTGTGTGTGTCCATGAATGAAAGCGCTTCATCACAGTTGGTTCCCTGCTCCGTGTAGCTCTTGTCCATTGAGTTCACCATCACCGTCATCTCCTGTCTCGTGCTGTTCAGCGTCTCCTTGCGCTTCTTCGCCAGCTTTCTGCAAATCACAAAATCAAAGATAAAAGTAACAGCATTAGTGATGTGATACACAAAACGTAACACACGACCTGTATGCAGTATGAACACTATGTGGGAATTTAGGACACTGGTTCCCACAATGCAATGTATTTTTTTCATTTAGTTTTATTTTAAAGTTTTAGTAATTTTCTTGTGTTTTTGGCATTTTTATTAGCTTTTTTTAATGTCTATTTTATGCATTTTTATTTCAGTTTTAGTTATTTTAGTATCACTGAGATTTTATTTATCTTGTGAATTAGTTTTTATTTTTATATTTTCCATTTTCATTTTAATATTTCAGTCAAAGTTTTAGTAATTTTGTTGTGTGATTTTGTCATTTTTATGCTTTTTTTATTTTATTTCATTTCTTGTTTATTTTAGTACATCAAGTTAAACTAACTGAAAATGAGATGTTGCATTGGGAACTACCTGAAATAATGGCTTTTTTTGTATTTTATTTTATTTCAGTAAATGTTCATTTTAAGTAACAAATGTATTTTAATATATCAAAATAAATGATCATATTTTTAGTTTTAGTTTCAGTTTCAGTTAAATATAATAACCCTGTTTAGTACCAAATGAATGAGAAATGTTGCTTTGGCAACAAGCTTAAGTAAAATATATTTTTATATTTTGCATTTTATTAAATTTTTTTCAGTTAACATTTATTTTAAGTAACTTTTTTTAACGTTTTAATTTTAGTTAACTATAATAACTCTGGTTTGGCTCCATAATATTTGACACTGAATTAAAATGAATAATTTCTAGATGTAACTCACTGAATTAAAGTGGCTATTATATAACAATGTACAGTTTGAAAAGTTTATAGTTTCATCCTGCATTCATGTATTTAAAACTGTGCAAGTATTTCGTTCTGAACACAGAATGCCTTTAACGCTGTAAATGAGGAACAGGGCGAGAGGTTAGTTCAACAAATGTATTTTAGTGAGCAAAGAGCAGTCCTGAAGAAAAACTCAAGGTGGCCAGCCATTAAACTAATCAAAAGAGGCTCATTTTAATGAGCAGGGCCTGATTAAGATGCCGGAGTCACCCACCTAATTAAACCGTGATATAATTCTAATCAATGCCCCACCAAGAGCCTCGAGGAGCGCCGGCTCTCCGTGATTACAGCCGCACACGCGTGTTCTCCAACACGCATCTCAACACCAGAGCAGATGTTAGAGAATAATGGAGTTCTGCTTTAATTCAGTTAACCTGCCTTCATCTGCTAACGATCCACAAATGCAAATGAGACCAAAGTACTCAGCCAATCCGTGGGAGGGAAATTAGCGTGTGGTTCCTCGCCTGAGGCTCGACTTCCCAAAGCGGATCCGCAGGTAATTTCCAATGAGATCTTGGAAACGGAGCCAAACCACAAAGTAAGCAGATGCACCAAGTTTCTACAAACTACAAACTCCATTAAAGCTTGAACATCAGCAGAAGTCATGAGTGATGAGCAGAGCGAACGGGTTACACCGCCATGAGATTAGCCTCGCTAAACAACACGCCATATTCCAACAGGACAAAGTTCAGCTCCTTCGCAGGAACATCTGAGGGAAAACTCAATCTCCACTCAGCAGACAGATTTAGATTCCACTCCCACACTAAACAGTTTACACTCAGAAATCACTGGTAAATTTCACAAATCGTTACAAAGAATCGATGTTAGAAGTGATGTAGAAAGACAGAAACAGCACAGTCTAAAGAATGCTGGGTTGAGCCTGTTGGGTCATTATGTTGGGCAGTTTTTTTCCAGGGTTACAGAGAAGAGTTGAATTAAAATGTTTCTCCTAAATGTTACGCTTTTTATTTCTAAAACGCTTGTTAAATGAGTTTAAATGTAAGCTGGGGTTTGCGGGGCCCAAGTGCAGGTTGTACCTGAGGGCCTTGTTTGAAATCGTGCAAATTGCACAAATGAATAAACAGAACAAAAATACAAATTAAACAACGATTTGATTTTTTTAGGTTTGTAGGTGCAATGTAGGTTCAGGTACAATAATCAAATGTAAAATAGCATGGCATAGTCTTCACTGTATGAATTAAATATAGATTAATTCTGAAGTAATTCAGTCAAGAGCAGTGAGTGATTTTCTCTCTTCTATTTTCTCTTGGATTATCATTAAGGACAGAGACAGCAGCTGGTAAATTAGGCGCTGTCACTTTAAGACACAATGCATGGATCCCATATAATGACACACATCTGATGTTCACGTAAGACGTAACCGACAGTTCCCCTTCAGGAACTCGAGCTGCGTCGAACGCTTTGGGAACGCCTTCAGCGAGACTATGCTCTGAATCGTGTGTGTAATCAGAACAATGGATGGGCGCGACGTCACGGACGGGGTGACGTGTGACCAGGAAGCTATAAAAGCACGTGAGGTGGAGACAGCGGCAGCTTCTGTCATTCAGCGAAGCACTCTGTGTGTGTATGTCCTATTTACCGTTGTCTGTCACTTTTGCAAACGATAAAGCAATGCCAAAGTCTAAGCACAAGACAAATAAAGGGGATGATAAAGGCAAACAGCAGTTTAGGTTGTGTGTTCCTCCCTGCCCTCGCTACATCACGGGCGGGGATACACACAGCCTTTGTGTTGTTTGTCGGGGAGCGAAGCACGCCGAGTCAACTCTCGAGGGAGCTGACTGCCCGCATTGTGAGCGCCTCTCCATGCGGACGCTTCGCTCCCGGAGGGCTCTCTTTGAGGAGGGAGCCCTCGCCAGCGCTCCCCGCAGCTCTGGTCCCACGTCTGCCGAGGCAGCGCGGCGATTGCGGTCGTGGGGTTCGCAGCTGGATCTGGTGGAGGGAATGGAGACGGGCGAGTCCTTTTCTTCTCCCTCTGCCACCGGATTCAGCGCCACCTCGCAGGGTTCGGAAGCACGCTCCGACGGAGCGGTTTCTTCCCCCATGGGAGAAGGCTCGGTGCTCAGACTGTCGTCCTCCTCCGAGGGCGATGGCGAGGGCGCCGCAGTACCCCCTCAGTCTGCACAGTATGAGGAGCTCGTGGAGGTGATAACTCGCGCCGCGGCCAAATTAAATATCGAATGGTCCGCCGAGAAGCAGGCAAACTCCGTTAAAAGCAAATTAGATGAACGTTTTTTACAGTCTAAACCGCTCCCTCCACGCCGGGGCTTGCCGTTTTTTCCCAATCTCCACACTGAGGTGTCGAGATCGTGGTGGAAACCATACTCGGCCCGCCTCTTTAGTCCGTCTCTGGTTGATTATTCTAACGTCACAGGATTAAATGAGTGCGGTTATAGGGTGATGCCCCGGATTGAACGGACGCTCGCGAGCTATCTGTCTCCCGGTGTGGCGTCGTCCCTTAAAGCCCCGGCACTGCCCACCAAGCCGCTTCGTACCACTTCAGCGCTGGTGGGCAAAGGATACACGGAAGCAGGTCAGGCTGGTGCATGCCTTCACACGATGGCTGTTCTTCAGGCGTACCAAGCAGACCTGCTTAAAGAGTTAGATCTGTTTTTTAGATTTGTCTCTCCACGCCACGAAAGAGACCGCCAAAGCTATCGGGCGGTCGATGGCAGCCTTGGTGGCCGCAGAGAGGCATTTGTGGTTGACCCTGTCCGACATCGAAGAGAAGGACAGGGTCTTCCTGCTTAACGCCCCGCTTGCGCCTTCTGGCCTGTTCAGCGACGCCGTCAATTCCGACGTCGACAGGTTTCAGGAGGCTCAGCGGCGGCGTTTCAGCGGTTCCTCCATCGCCGCTCTCTAGCTCAGCCGTGTGCTCGCTCCTCACACAGAGAGGCGCAGAAAGTGAGTGTCGCGACTCACACGCCCCCACGCGAATGGGGATCGCGAAGGGAGCTACGCTCACGGTCGAAGGCTTCGAAGCCGAAGGCCGATCTGAGGACCGTCCTTCTGGCTAAGAAGTCTTCGACAAAGAAGCCCTGATGTTTGTGTCCCAGGGCTTCTTTCAGGACTGTAGAAAGAGGTTACAGAATTCAGTTTGGTTCTCCTCTGCCTCGTTTCAACGGGATCGTTTCCACGGTGGTGGGTCCCGAGCAGGCTCCGGTGTTAGAACAAGAAGTAAATACTCTGCTGAGGAAGGAGGCCATCGAGGTGGTCCCTCCTCTCGAAAGAGAATCCGGGTTCTACAGCCGGTACTTCATTGTACCGAAGAAGGATGGGGGGTTGCGTCCGATTTTAGATCTGCGTCAGTTGAATCACTCAGTCATGCGACTAAAGTTCAAGATGCTCACTATCAAACAGGACGTGTCTCAGATCAGGTCCGAGGACTGGTTTGTAACGATAGATCTAAAAGATGCATATTTCCATGTCTCCATCCTTCCTCAACACAGGAAGTTCCTGAGGTTTGCTTTCGAGGGCGAAGCTTACCAATATCGGGTTCTTCTGTTCGGCCTTGCACTCTCACCCTGCACATTCACGAAGTGTGTGGATGCTGCTCTGGCTCCACTGCGACTCCAAGGCATCTGCATACTAAATTATATCAACGATTGGTTGATTCTGGCTCAATCAGAGCAGACGGTGGTTCGACATCGAGATGTCGTTCTCGCCCATATGAAAGAGTTGGGGTTAAGACTAAACGCAAAGAAAAGTGTGCTTTCTCCATTACAGAGGACCACTTATCTAGGCGTGGTGTGGGATTCGACCACGATGCAGCTTTTTGGCCTGTTGTACATGAGACCCCTACAGTGGTGGCTCAAGACCAAGGGGTTTTCCCCGAGGGGAAATCCGCTTCGCATGATCAAGGTCACGCGGCGATGCTTTCGTGCCTTAGACATGTGGAAGAAACCTTCGTTCTTGTCACAGGGCCCGGTGCTGGGAGTTCCTTGTCGTCGCGTAAAGTTAACGACAGATGCGTCCCTCACCAGTTGGGGTGCGGTCATGAGTGGCCACCCTGCCCGCGGTCTGTGGAGCGGTCGCCATCTCACTTGGCACATCAACTGCCTGGAGCACTGACACTAACATGTGTTGGTGCGCACCGACAACACATCGGTGGTCTCTTATAT